CCAACACCCCTCACCCAGCCGCCCTTTTCTAGTTGATTTTTTGTGTTCGCAAAGAAACAAGAATGTTAATGCATACCCGCCGGCCCCCCCTGGATAAAAGGTGTGTGTGAGATTAATTTTGGCCTCCAAGGCCAAAATTGTCACGAGTGCAGGACGAACAAGTGAGAGTTTATGGGGAATATAAATTCTTTCAATAAAGTTTTATCTCACTTTTATAACCCCCCCCCCCCCTTTTTTTTTTTTTTTCTGTTTTTTTTTTGGGGGGGGGGGGTTTGCTTTTGAAAACGTTCTTTAAAAATCCTTAGCAATTTAGCGTGGTTCGGATTTTCCAACATCAGAGCCCCTTCCCTTACATAAAAAATATGAGTCAAGCTGACTTGCAATGATTACTTCTTCTTCTAAACCAGTCACCACACTCAAAGGCAAGACACCAATTTAAGCTCCATAAGTTGCATTTGACACCGCCCCTCACAGTAAACGGTGTTCTGAAAAGTGCGACGAAAAACACTTGACTTCGAAACAATTGAAAATTGTTGTGTGCTAGCTTTGTTCCATGAACGCATGTTAAGTACATTGTAAATCTATTGTATCCGATTCTAGGCTTGATTTTCATGGGGCAGTTCTTATTATTTACAGGGCGAATGTACTCAGAGATTTTGTGTGGGTGTGTAGAAAGTTAGAGTTTTGGGGTTAAGTACAGGGGAACATGACTAAGAGTTGGTTACTACTCACTTACACTTTGCTTTCATGTATGGTAGTGTTTCTTTTTTACATGCCGATCATTTCAATTTCTATCCATCTCAATGACTTCAGTCAATGTATGGAAACTCAGGTTTACGTAAATGTGTGTAATCAAAACAGAGCGCTACTCACCTTAAAGAGGGTCACAAACTTTACACGCTCGACAATGGGCCAAGATCGTTTGAATGCGTTAGCGTATTCCATGTATACATAGAGATATAATTTGTCAAATTGAAAGGTTCGTCGAAAGAGCCGTCGACTGCTTCAAAGAGCGGAAGGGCGGAAATTTTTCCAAGTGAAAACCATATCTAAACCAAGCATTTTTATCGACGAGGCATATTTGTGTTTCTGAAGACTATTATAATATCCCGGCTCTTTCACAATTATGTACATGGATATGTTTATACAAGCACGGGAAGGAGACCAAACTCCACAAGTGCTCTACACCTACACCTACACCTACACCTACATGCCGTGTGTGTGTGTGTGTGTGTGTGTGTGTGTGTGTGTGTGTGTGTGTGTGTGTGTGTGTGTGTGTTTGTGTGTGTGTGGCGAGGAAAAGGGATGGGGGAGGGGGCTAAGATGTGCGTATAAGAATAATGAGTGTCTCTTTTTGTATGCTGAGGGCAGTGGCGGTGGGTGGATCAAATTGTGGGTGTCTAAGACAATAGGGTAGGGTGAGTTCAAAGTAAGATTTCGTTAATTCAGAAGGAATTCTAGATATGTGTGGTGAGTGTGTTTGTTTGTGTATGTGTGTGCATGCATGTGTGTCACACACACACACACACACACACACACACACACACACACACACACACACACACACACACACTCACACACACACACATACA